GGACTTACCAACGTATTTACAACATGATACGTTCAATAGTTCTCATTCACAATATAACCTTTCTCAATGTAAATGTTTTCCAACTGTAGACGTCCCAAACGTCCCAGGGGGAAATCCCCTCTGTTTTGTTCATGTTGGGCTTACTATAGTAGCGGACTCAAATGTCACGGTTCTTAATCTGATCTCGCAAAGTGCAATGCAAGGCTGATAAATCACCAAAGAGTCCAAATTTGGCAAATTGTTTTGGAAAACAGATTTTTAGAAAGGAGTGCCAAACATGGACTGCTTTGCTAGATACAGAGTCGCTACCTAAATATTTTATTTTGAGAAATTTAGGAAACCCTGACTCGTGCCTAAGGCCACGTGTCCGTCATCACCAAAGTTGCCTCGGCTCGGGAACTTGGATACGATTGGAGAAGGTCATGCAATGAGCACCCCCGCTCGCCCGATCAAAGATCGGCCACTACTAAACATGATACCTTATTTTTGAAAACACATGTGCTCTTGTTACGGTTATTAGCCTAGATTTACTATTTGATGCGCACAACACACAAGTATAGACTGGATCGCCTAAATTGGAACAAAACATTTCATGTTTGTTTGAAAATGGTTTGAAGGTGCTACTCGTAAATAGGCTAAGACGTGGATTTGCCACCCTCAGGTGGGCTTAGAAAACATGATTTTGCCACTCGCAAGTGGGCTTAAAACTCGCATTTGATGAATTGTTCCAATTCAAGTAATCCAACCTTCACCCACAGGCATTCAGGCAGTTATATCACATAAGCAGTTAGCTTCATGGCAAGCATGCTATCATGGCAACACTCACACTCATGCAAGATGCTAAAGCATAAAAGCTTACCGAGTACTCCGAGCCAAAGAAAGAAACTAATTAGACATCATGCATGAATCCTAACTATGCTGAGATGCCTAATGCAACACATGCAAAATGCAACTAAGATAGGCTCGGCTATTCTAAGATGGCATATGAGATGCAATAGTCAATACATGTATTCAACTTAGAATTGAAATACAATGCAGTTAGTATGATGCGCCGAGCCCGGTGCATGCAAGATAGATGAATGAATGCAAACATGTGAGCATAAGTATGCTAATTTAAACATGCCCTAAACTAACCATCATAAGCTGGTAAATAAAAGGGAGAAAGACGTGGGTTTGGAAAACATACATCACACACACGCACACTTATTACAACATTGCCCTCTCTCGAAGGGTCCAAATAAATAATATAGAACCAACTAATGAATCAACTACTCTAGCTAATTAATTATTACAAAACCTTAATTAATTAACAAATTAACTAAACTAGTATGCAAATTAAACAAAATGGACTGCCTTAGCTCTGTTCCGAATGGGGTGCGAATTTGGTTGTTTGCGAGCCATTTCCGGACGCACCGGTGAATGGCGTAGCTGCAGGGGCTCTTGGGGGATTGGTGGTGACCATGCTTACTTTCGAATCTCTGGCATTTGCGGCATTGCTTGTACCTGTATTGGTGTTGCGGTTGAAGGTTCTTCTGGGTTGCTCTCTGTCTTGGTCAATCAGACCCTGTTTCATAGCATCCTCAATCTGTACCCCCATCTCATGTAAATCTGAAAAGGTGGGGAAGGGAAGAACAATCATTTTCTGCATAAGCTTGGGCTGGAGATTACGCACAATCATCCGAATCTGATCTTTGTCAATGGGCCGAGTGGTCATCATTGAGGCCTTAGCCCTCCACCGGGTTACGAAGTCAGAAAAATTCTCCTTAGGCTCCTGCCTAGTCGTCTCGAGATCACGGGTTGTGATCTCGATCTGTGTATTATAGGAGTATTGAGCGACAAAAGCTTCGGCCATCTCATCCCAATTCCTCTTAACATCGTCTTCCAATTTCGCGTACTAGATGGTCGCCACACCCGACAGGGTCCGGCCAAATAATGAAAGCTTCTGTAGTCTGGTGAGACCCATCGGCCTTAGTATGTCCGAAAACAAATGTAGATGCACCATGGGATCCCCAGACCCGTCAAAGCGGTCGATTTGTGGCATCTTGAACCGATCTGGCAGCGTCACAACCGCGTCAGTGTACCCGTCCTCAATGTCTGGGATGGATTTTAACCCTTGGGATTTCTTGAACAACTTTTCAAGCTTGCTCACTTTTAATGCCGTGGGGTCCACCTCAAACTCAAAGGGAGAATCTGGTGGGTTGATCTGTGCTTTGGGCGGTTGGGGTAGGACCGGGGGTGGAGCCGGCCCTATTGGAGGAATGTCCGTATCATCCTGGACGTGTATTGTCTCCCCAAGTATGGGAACTCTTGGTGGGGGAGGAGCCTGGTGCGAAGCAGATGCCCCGGCTTGCTGCTGCAGCTTAGTGATTAGTTCTGCCTGTTGGGCCATAATGACGGCTTGCTATTTGGCAAATTCTGCTTGACGAGCAGCGTCCTCCTGCATGGTTCTCATGCTCTCCTGGAGCTGATACATCATTTCTTCCATTCCTGTCATACAGCCTTGATCTATCTGAACTACCGGTATGTCTATCTCTGGAGTAGCCTTGGGAATCCCAACCTGACTGTTAAAAGACCATTGATCTGGCAATCTCGGTACCGATACACTGTGTCTTCTCGACCTCCGCTTGACAACCGGGGGTAAAGAGTGGAACACTGGTTGTCCGTCTACCAGATCCTCAGATCGATGGAGTCGACGACCTCTAGTCCAGAGTGCTTGGGGAATATCTGCTTGGTCAGAAGCAATTGTGCTAAACTACCTAGCAAAAAGATAAATAAAGCAATAATAAGGAAATAAACAACCAGAAAAACGGACAGCATAACAGCGTAAATAAACACACAACACACAGTTGGGCATTACAACACACAGTTGATAGACTGTTCTCAAACGCTGATCATTGTTCCTAAATCACTGCCCCCAAAACTGAATTTAATACTCGCAGATAACTGATTCCCAAAATACTGAACTGGTGCCCGCAGGCCTGATACCCAAACTTGTAAACTGATACATGCATTCCTGTAGAGACGCACTCTAAAAGCACATAGCAAACAAGTGAGAGCCAAAACACCCCTATGTTGGGGTAAGGTTTCCCTGTCCTGTTTTGTCAGGAGCTAGGGTTTCACTACCCACGCAGCGGTTTCAAACAACCTATAATCGGGTAAGCAACCTGTCCTAACTTGGAATGGTCACTATGGATTTCGAATATGCACTAGGTCGAATGGTCAAAAAGGGTGCCCCGGTAAAAACCAGGGTTTGTGTTCCCATTGTGGCAGAGCCCGTAACCAGTCAGCCTTATGGCACGCTCCTCAAAGCGAGCCTCCGGCAAACTGTTCAAGAATAGTAGACGGCAAACACGATGTCCTAGACGCACCTATGCAAATGCAATGCAAAGAAACACATAAGTGTAATCAAAACAAGATATCATGAGTTCGAGTTAAGTTCTCTAACTCCCCAGCAGAGTTGCTAGAAACTGTAGACATCCCGAACGTCCCGGGAGGAAATCCCCTCCGTTTTGTTCATGTTGGGCTTACTACAGTAGCGGACTCAAATGTCACGGTTCTTAATCTGATCTCGTAAAGTGCAATGCAAGACTGATAAATCACCAAAGAGTCCAAATCCGGCAAATCGTTTTGGAAAATAGATTTTTAGAAAGGAGTGCCAAACATAGACTGCTTTGCTAGATACAGAGTCGCCACCTAAATATTTTATTTTGGAAAATTTAGGAAACCCTGACTCGTGCCTAAGGCCACGTGTCCGTCATCACCAAAGTTGCCTCGGCTCGGGAACTTGGGTACGATTGGGGAAGGTCATACAATGAGCACCCCCGCTCGCCCGATCAAAGATCGGCCACTACTAAACATGATACCTTATTTTTGAAAACACATGTGCTCTTATTACGGTTATTAGCCTAGATTTACTATGTGATGCGCACAACGCACAATTATAGACCGGATCGCCTAAATTGGAACAAAACATTTCATGTTTGTTTGAAAATGGTTTGAAGGTGCTACTCGCAAGTAGGCTAAGACGTGGATTTGCCAAAATGGATTGAAGTTTGCTACTCGCAAGTAGGCTAAAACACGGGTTTCGACGAATCATTCCAATTCAAGCAACCCAACCTTCACCCACAGGCATTCAGGCAGCTATATCACATAAGCACATAGCCTCATGGTAAACATGCTATCATGGCAGTCACTCACACACATGCAAGGATGCTAAAGCATAAACACTTACCGAGTACTCCGAGCCAAAGAAAGAAACTAATTAGACATCATGCATGAATCCTAACTATGCTGAGATGCCTAATGCAACACATGCAAGATGCAACTAAGATAGGCTCGGCTATTCTAAGATGACATATGAGATGCAACAGTCAATACATGTATTCAACTTGGAATTGAAATACAATGAAGTTAGTATGATGCGCCGAGCCTGGTGCATGCAAGATAGATGAATGAATGCAAACATGTGAGCATAAGTATGCTAATTTAAACATGCCCTAAACTAACCATCATAAGCTGGTAAATAAAAAGGAGAAAGACGTGGGGTTGGAAAACATACATCACACACACGCACACTTATTACAACATTGCCCTCTCTCGGAGGGTCCGAATAAATAATACAGAACCAACTAATGAATCAACTACTCTAGCTAATTAATTATTACAAAACCTTAATTACTTAACAAATTAACTAAACTAGTATGCAAATTAAACAAAATGGACTGCCTCAGCTCTGTTCCGAATGATGAAGAATGCATGTGTCATGACCCGAACCCGCCCCTCTAGGTTAAGGCCATAACCGGCCAGTAATCACGAGATTACCTACGGCCTCAAACCAAATAAGACAAAACTCATACCGGCCAGTAATCCTAAGATTACCTACGGCCTCAAACCAAACCAAGCGTATTTTAACAGAGTTAATGGGGGCCAAACGGAAGCAATTTAAAACTTTGTCCATAGAGCTGTGCTTACATGGCACATCAAAACAAACCATACATATGTACGTTAATAACTCACAACAGAAACATAGTGATATAGGTTCTGTACAGACAGGATCATCCAAAACTAAGTCAACCCATAAAAACTATAAGCAGACATATACAAAACTTCGCCAACCTGACAAAATGCAAATACACAACAAAAAGGCGAAGGCGGGTCTCATGCGTGAGACACAAGGGCTGACTCTCTCAAAACCTTAGTGGTTCCATACAGACTTCTCTGAGGCTGGGTCTGGACTTCTCTTGGCTCACCTACAAACACATGAATGAGCGTGAGCGAAAGCCCAGTGAATAATATCAAATCAAATACAGAAGTTACATAACAATGTAGAACAACATGTTCCAAACGGCCTTGGGCCCAATTCATATTTCTATTTAACAGATATATAACTATACGAAATTCAAATCAAGTGACTGTAGTTCCAAACATTCTGGCCTTTGGCCCATTCAGATTTCCATTCATGTCAAAACGGCCTTCGGCCCATTCATTTATGTCAACGGCCTTCAGCCCATTTATTTCTGTCAAAATGGCCTTCGGCCCATTCGTTTATGTCAAAACGGCCTTCGGCCCATACATTCATGTCAAAGCGGCCTTCGGCCCACTCATTCATGTCAAAACGACCTTAGGTCCATTCGTATATGTCAAAATGACCTTCGGTCCACTCATTTCTATCAAAACGACCTTCGGTCCATTCATTTCTGTCAAAACGACCTTCGGTCCATTCGTTTACATCAAAACGGCCTTCGGCCTATTCATTTACGTCAAAACGGCCTTCGGCCCATACATTCGTGGCAAAACAGCCTTCGGCCACTCACTCATGTCAAAACGACCTTAGGTCCATTTATTCATATCGAAACGACCTTCGGTCCATTCATTCATTCATGTCAGACTTTTGTCCACAATCCCAATTAGCAACTCATAAAGCTTATAAAGGAATAAACAGTTGGACATTGGTAAGCTTTCAATTATCGATATTACTCACAGTGATCGGCTTGTGGATTTGCCCTGGAGCTTGACCCTACACATTTCATGAACACAAAAGGGGTCACTAACAGTTCAATCCATTCTTTGATTCACATATTCCTCTTTAGGCTTTATTCTTATCTCATTAACTCATTTACAATGCTTAACATATGCCTAAGAGTGCTTACAAGTGAAAGAGAACGGAAAACGAAACACAGAACGAGCATACAAAATTTCAGAGAACAAGGTCCCCGCTTGAGCGTCAACTTACCCGCTCGAGCGGACCCTTAAGGCCTGCAAAAGTACTGGTTGCATGAAAAATACGCTTGAGCGTGGAATAGAGAGCTCGAGCGGAAGGCCTGTCTACAAAACTCCCCACTCGAGCATGAGATATCCCGTTCGAGCGGAAATCCAACTCTGCAAAAAGTGCTGGGAGCACGATTTTCCCGCTCGAGCGGCTCTTCCCCCACTCGAGCAGCCATTAAAAATCTGGGTTTTCCAGATTGAGTTCTTGAGCTCCAATTCGACCTTCCAACCACATTTCCTGCATAATATGGCTCCAACTTCACATATATTTGCACTAACATGATATAAACACCAAAACACAACATCATGGAGCCCACTTTCATGAGTTAACCACATGCATGTCCCAAATTGGCACTAAACTCAACTCCAACATACACATTCATGCATTCAAAGCTCCCATCTTCATAAATTGTATATACATGTGATGAATTAGCCACATTCTCAACTTAGATAACACAAATGGTGATCATTCTCATGGAACACAACAAAAACATGCTTAATTATGCAAAATCATGGTGATCCTACACATGCATGTGCACATTAGCTTCAAATTCATCAATTATAGCACAACTCTTGCTCTTGATCACCAATTAATCTTTAATTCACAAAATCACAAGTTAAGTCTCATGAATTCAAGACCAAACCTAGAGGCTCAATCTTCCAAACTATAGCAATTTCTTGAGTTCAATCCTCCAATTCTTCACAAATTTGAGCCAAACACCCAACTCTCATTTTTCCCTCTCTCTAGCCGACCCCCTCCTCTTTCTCTTGAGTTAGATTCAGTCAAAATAAACTAAAGAAGGAAGTTTGAGTGTATAAAGCCTTTACAACAAAACCCACTAAGGCCAATATAATAGTAATAAAGTAGTTGGGTTCTAATTCATCAATTTAATCGTTTTAATCTAACCCGAATCAATTTTTAATTAAATTTCACCGTAGGTTCTAAAAATTATGACAATCACAATAGCGTAATCAATTTCGGATTCTGTGGCCGATAAGGCCTTTAATTTAATTTCCAAAGCAGATTATTCAAACAGATATTCCTACGATGAACAGATAGAACTTCGAAATCACATATATTCACAAAATGGCACACAAAATCATATTAAACACATCATCATACTCATATTAAGGACCAATTAGCATACTACAAAACAGGGGTATTACAGCATGCATGCCCGAGTCGCCTTGTCAGAGAATCCATTGCGATGTCCCGGCTTGCCTTTGTTTGCAATTGATTTCAAAACACTGCCCGAAGCTCCAAAGAGATGAAACTCCACCCTGGGAATCTAGGGGAGGGCCACCGACCAGACCTAGACATTGGAGACCACCCACCGACCAGTTTTTGGGAGAAAAACCAACAAGGGTGGTCGGCCTGCCAGAAAACCCAGTCGGCCGACCAGCTTCTTCTCCTGGTTTCTGTATTTTCTGCAACAAAGGCAAGAAAGAGAGAAAGCAAGGTATTTGAGACACATGTGTGCATGACCACTTCCCCCATCATTGCATAAGCTCTAGGGAGTGTAGTCCTTGATCCTCAGGCCACCAATCACGCATTCCGATGCATGATGGCCGAGGAGTCGAATTGCACGACTCGACGTAAAATAAACGCACATATAAACACAACAAGGCCTAAACTTCATCATGGGTAATCCGGAGTGTCGGCGACCGAGAATCGAGGCTCGTTTCGTCACTTGGAGTACGAAACGCCCCTCGTTTCCCGTGTTTGGATTCAACCCTATTCCAAACACAACGCAATACACATGGCATGCATGAATGCAACTCTAACATGCAACCTAAACATAATGCCACTAAATGATGCAAACATGCAAAAGATGATATGCAAACGTGCTACTAGCATACACAATGTTATAAAATAATCAATGGCATACTCAATGCACATGAAAACTATATGGCATACGCAATGCACACATGGAGACTAACAATGAAATGATCAAGGCATACACAATGCAATGGTCAATCATGCAACAACATGGACTAAATGAAATATACAATGCAAGATGGACTTAAACCAAAATGAGTGAGCCTTAGCCACACCCAAATCAGTGGCCACACCCAAATCAGTGGCCAAACATGATGAAATTAAGGCAATAACACTTATGCAAACATGCCCAATGCGAGGGACCAAACCTAAGGCACAAAGTGCAACTCTACTAAGGCATAGCAAGGGATGAAATATGGCATGCAATGACACATTTTCCAGCTTTGAAATATCATGCAAGATGGTCCCGAATCATGCAAACACCTCACACAATGCATGCTCGATGGCCCAAATACCAAAACTAGTTAAGCGGATTACACTATAGGCATGCAAAGCAATACTCAAATGACCAAACCAACCCCAAACAGTCCCTATGCAGGCCCAAAACAATAAGAAAATGGACTAAAATGGTGCCTCAAAAGGCACGGAAATGAAACTCATGCAATGGTCCATAAATGAGGCATACAAGCACAACCCTCAAATGCATTTAAGGAGTGAAAAACATGGAAACATGGCAATCTTAAATGCTCTGAAATATCATGCACAATGACCCCAAAACATGCAAACACCTCAATATAAGCACGCAATAGGCTTCAAAACTCAAAGCTAGGCAAGGGTATTGAACTACAACCATGCATAGCAAACATTATTCAACCATGAGGCCCAAAAACAGAGTTAAGGCAGCTCAAATCATGAATAAAATCAGTTTAGAACATGGCCAAAATATGCTAGAATAAAGGGCCAAAACAACATGCAATGTGAGCTAGTGAACATGGATTACACTACAAGCATATGAAGCATTCAAGAGGCCACTAAATCAGCAAAAGTTAGAGACATGACATGCCAAATAAAGCCCAAAAACTCACCGAAACATGATCAATGCATGCAAGAATGACATGCTCATTTGATAGGCTATAAGAGGGGTTATTCTACACATGAAAGAGACACACCCAAGGTGACAAAACCAACTATGGACAAAGCCTAGGTAGGCTCTAAAAGTCACTGAAAAGGGCCTGAAACAAGGCTTGGAGGTGTGCAAATGAAGGCTCCTTTGTTAGGCCAAAAATGCTGGTAAACAAGACAACAAGAGAGAGGGTCACCCCTCTCTGATTTTGGCCCTCAAAACCACATTCTCACCACTGAAAATCCACTGGATTTCAGTGGCTAGAGGGCCAAACAAAGCTTAGCTCGAATGCATTATGACATGGCACAAAACAAGGCTAAAACAAGCATGCAAGGGGGTAGACGACCCTTAAAAGAAAAATGATCTTAAACAAACATGTTAAGTATCTCAAAATAAGACTTTTTTTAGTTTACACCAAAGCTCAAAAATGCTTGCAAGTGTGGTTAAAAGATGGAGCAAAATAAGGCTTAAAAGAGGGAATAGGGTGTTACCTTGTAGCTCAGCAACTCTAGCAGCTCATGGACCAAAAATGCAGCTCCTTAGGACCTTTCAAGACCCTTCAAGAACTCAGTAACAATGGTGAAGGTGTTAGGCTATGAGGTGTAGAGCAAAAGGGCCAAGAACAATACATTTCTAAGCACAACATAGTGAGATATAGAGAGAGATATATCCTATATGCCTTAGGAATTTTCTGAACCAGCACAAAGGAGGGGGAGGCCCTCCTATATAGACAAGAGGGACTAAAGCTTCTCCTAGAAGCTTCAAACCAAGGTTGAATGGAGGATCCAGTCTGTGCCTTCCAGCTGGCACAGCTGGCAACAACTCACTGAGATAGAACCAGCAGGAGCAGGCCGACCAGTTCAGGTGGTCGGCCGACCAGGTCAAAAGGTTCAAGCTGATGAACGGTGGTCGGCAACCTCAATTGATGGTCTCCACATGAAATACAAGCAAGTGGTATGATGAGAGACTAGCAAATGTGGCTCAAAAATGAGGGAGACCAGTTACCTGACAAGAAAATCGGCCGGTGGGAGAAAAGTGGTCTCCAAGGAGAAAAGGTGGTCTCTCACCCTTGCACTACCTTCCAAACAATGAAAACATGGTCCACGCCGAAAATGAACCAAGACGGATGCAAAACGAGGGTTCGGGGGCCAAAACACGCAACCGGGTGCCCCAAAAACTGACTGTTAAGCATCGAAAGTGGTGTGCGACCACGAAGGTGGTCTCCCAGGCCACAGTGTCCCTCTAGAGAGAGGAAACAAGGTGTGTGCCAAAAACCGGAGCAAATAGAGAAAGTTAAGCAGTCCCGAACCGAGGCGCACGGCCGACGGCTCTGAAAACCGGAAACTGGTCTCCAAACAGGAACAGTGGTCTATGACCACGAAGAGTAGCCTACGGCCACTGAGAGATGGTCTACGAGACCTCTCCCTTCCTTCAGGAAGAGAAAACAGAACCTGGTTCGTAAATCGAGGCAAGGCACAAAAGAATCCCGAAGTCCGGAGGCAAGGCTCTCAGCCGAGACTCCGTAACCTCAGAACGAGCACAACATGCGCAATCACCGAGCGCTCAATCGATGATGTCTGAGTCTTAAGGTCGGTCAAAAATGGGGTGTCTACACCAACTCATGTCAAGGTGTATAAAAATGACAAAATTTAAATGAGGATATGATGCAACAATTGATATCTCATAGCATTTCTTCCTTTACCTTCCTCCAATGCCATCACACAAAGTAACCACATGCTCCACCGATGCTAATTAACACATAGCAATAGCTTCTCATCATGCACATTGCTTAACATTCTAGTCATTCCATGTAACGCCCTAAAAAATGAAGGCATAATTTAAT